TCGGTCCCAACAATGTCTGTCAGGGAAGGAAGAGGAGCTCAGGAAGCTCCACCCCTCCCTTAGCATCTGTAGGCAATTAATAGTGCCTAGAGGAAGAAGAGATTTTCTTCAGTGTTGTAGCCACTAGTAAGGTGCCCACATTCCTGTAAACAACTCTCTCCCCTGTGTGTTTGCAAGCAACCCTAATGAAATTCATTGGGTCACCAAAAAAGGAAAAAACAAAAACAGCAAAAAGACATAAATAAGGGAGAACTCATAAGGGAGAGGAAAGGATCGGTGGGAATTCGAAGGAGACAAGAGAGTGTGACAGAGTAAATATGATCAAACTTATATGCGTATATATGAAAATGCCATAATGAAAACTGTATGTATAATTAGTATAAACTAAGAGATAATAGAATAAATATATTACCTATAAATACATATTAGTATGTATTTCAAGCTTCAGTGACCTGGCTCTTTGCATCCTGAGTGTATGTTGTTTCACAGGGAGCCATGAAGGCAGGACTGCTGTTTGTAATATCAGTTATAAGCCAAATGGATGCCTCTTTCACTGGAGTTAAAAGTTGGATTTCAGTTTATACAACCAAGACTTTTGCACAAGGCTATACTGTTGGCATAGCATAGTCTTTCCCACCTCCACGTTCTTAAATCCACAGAGGAAGAAGCCAGCTACTGAGGCTCTCCTGCCTTTCTAGATTATCATCCTTCTAAAACTGATGACTTACAGATGTGTAAAGAAATAGCAAAGGAACCTCCCCAGTTTATGCTGCCATTTAGCTGCTAAGTCTGATGTGAACCGTGAAGCTTATGTTATTTTCATGAAGGAAAGCGGAATAGCATTGTGACAAGGCAGTTTTGCATGTCTAAATCTCATCTTCAATTTCTCTTACCATAGAACTAGTTTTCTCTCCGTGTGCCACCTTCTCCAATTCCTGTGTTCCATCCTTTGTGAGATTCATTCCTTTGAATATTCAGTAGCTGAACCCATTTGAAATCAATCCTGGGGTAACAAAAGGTGGTACGGAGGCCCTGAGGTGCGTCTGGAGGACACTGATGTTGAGATTCTCTCTGTGCTTGTATTAAGCAGTTGTCTGCCTTCAGTCAGAGAACGAGAACGCCCAGGCCACTACATACAATTTCAGGAAGGTCCATTTGTAAATGCAAAAGTACCACCTCAGAGAAGCTTTACCACTGCCTGCTCAGCTCACCACCAGATTGCTGCTTACTTTTGGTGGCAATAAGTAGACAAAGACAGTCTACTGCTTTTTCTGGGCTCCTAATCCTCATTTATGTTGAAAAGGTCAGTTTGTCATCTCCCTCAGCATTTCCATGAGGAGACTTCACTCATCTCCACAGGGAGTTGGTGGAAGATACAACAACCTCTGCCTGCTTTGTAATGGGAGGGAACTGGCAAATCAAAAGGCTGTGTACCTGGACCAGTCATTCCTCTGCTGTCTGCCTGCCTCTGTGATTTGTCCCTGCATACCTGTGGTCCCTGCAGGGGCATGCATGGATAGACTTGGGGCCAGAGCACATACTTTTTAAGTCATAAATTACAAGTGGCAGTCAGGAAGGGACCTCAGATTCAAGATGGATTCTTTAGCAGAAGCCCTGTATTTGAGTGGGTGGTAAGCTCTTAGCTGCTAGAAAATGACATTTGACTCATGGATCTTGGAGAGTGATTCAGAACTCCCAGGGACAAGGGGGTGGATGCTACACTCTCCAGACTGTTGACAATGTATGGCTCCTGGAGAGCTTCACTGCTCCTTAATATGCCCCCAAACAAGCTCTCCTTATTCCTCCTTGTGGAGATTTGAGTAAGAATGGCCCCCATAGACTCATATATTGACTGCTTAGCGGGGTGGCATTAGGAGGAGTGGCCTTGTTGGAGGAAGTATGTTACCTGGAGTGGGCTTTGGGGTTTCAAATACCCAGGCCAGGCTCTCTCTCTTCCAGTTGCCTCCGATCCAGATGTAAAACTGGATCTTCAGCACCATGTCTGCCTATATGCAGCCATGCTTCCTGCCATGATAATGATGAACTGAACTCTGAAACTGTAAGCCAGACCTAATTAAATTCTTTTCTTTTATAAGAGTTGTCATGGTCACAGAGTCTCTTCAGAGCAATAAAACCCTAAGACACTGTTCCTTCTACATTTCCTGGCTGAGAGACTGGCCTCAATCTTCTGATATTTCAGGCTAAAATTCTGGTTGTCTGAGTATATATAGGTATCTTAGCTAGAGTTTCTATGGCTGCAACAAAACATCATGATCAAAGAGCAAGGTTAGGGAGGAAAGAGTTTATTGGGCTTACACGTCCACTTTGTAGTATGTCACTGAAGGAAGCCAGGACAGGAACTAAAACAGGGCAGGAACCTGGAGGTAGATGCTGGTCCAGAGGCCATGGAGGGATGCTACTTACTGGCTTATTTATCATGGCTTGCTCAGCCTGCTTTCTGTTAGAACCCAGAACAACCAGCTCAGGGATAGATCCACCCACAATGGGCTGGGCCCTTCCCTATCAATCACTAATTTTTTTTTTTAAAACCTACATCTGGATCTTATGGAGACATCTTCTCTATTGAGTTTCCTTCCTTTCAGATAACTCTGGTTTGTGTGTCAAGTAGAAATAAGACTGTCCAGTACAATAGACCTTTTTGAGTTTACTTTGGACCTACCTCTCTCCTCATCCACACATGTATCTCTTGTAGCTGACTGTATACTGCATATTATTCAGACCTCAGCTGCAATGTCACCTCCTAAGTCTTAACTGTCCTACAAGAATGAGTGCTCCTATAATCCCCACTCCTCTACCACACTACATTGAAACATGCATCTCTGATTATTTATCTACCTCTTCCACTGGACTGCCAGATGGTTGTAAGTAGAACTGATCCTTGTTTATCTTTGAATGCCAGCATAGCCAGCCAGCAGTAGCTGTTTGATAAGTAAGGCCTTGCAGGAACAACATTGAGGCCTACTAGTGCCTGAGGCTGTATTGCACCATGGTAACAAGCCTAGCTTTGGAACTTGAGACCATGGTAACAGGCCTAGCTTTGGAACTCAAAACCTGGCCTCAGACCCTGCCATTTGTATGATCTTTGGGTGAGTTTCTTGACTTCTTTAAAGTTTTAGTCATCAGCAGGCTGGGGACAATCACTACTTCTTAAGGCTATGATGATGTGATATAATAATTTATGCAGAACACTTGAGCAAGGTCTGCATGACACATACATAGAATTCAGTTTGTCCTGGAGCCTAATCATAGCACCAGCAGCAGCATGAGTAACACAGCCATGTCGAATGGAAGGAGAAGCAGTGAGAAATAGATGGAACTTGACACCAGACATGTCGAGTGCTTGTGTATAGATTTCCAAGATGTAAGGAGTTGTTCAGGATAAAACATAGGAACAAGGGCTGGAGATATTCCATAGGAGTGCTTGCCTCACATGTATGAAACCTTAGGTTCAATCTCTAGTACTGCAAATGAATAAATAAATAATTCGGCTGGTGAGGTGGCTCAGTGGGTAAAGGTGGTTGCTGAAAGCCTTACAACCTGAGCAGGATCCCTGCGACACAAGAAGTGACTCCCACAAAAGGTCCTCTTTGACCTTCGTACATGTACCGTGGCGCACACGTGCATACATACACAATAAGAATATCAATTAATTAAACGAGTGAGACTCAGGAGCAGATGGTATTACCCTGGGAAGGAATGAACAGGGGAAAAATTGGGGCAGGGGAACTGAAGGCAGAGAACCCTGAGAAAGCCTACATTTCAGGAATAAGAAGAGTCGGTGGAAAGAGGGGGTACAACTCAGAGAATGTCACCAGGGGTGCCATTTGGGAAGGAAAGTGAATGAGGAGAATACAAGAGGCAGCCAGAGTCTGCTAACCTTAGTTCCCTGGGAGCCAGTCTGTTCAGTAGTAGCACCATGGGAAAGAAGACACACTGTAGGAGGCTAGAGATGGCCATGCAAGGGGCACAGTGGCAGTTGTTTGAGCTACAATCTGAGTTTTTTGTGGTGTGAATTAGTTTTCGGGTAAATGAAGGACTGATACCAGTGAGATGTGGAAGTCACTTTGCTCCTAAGTGGCTGGTTTGTCATCATGTCAATATTTTACATCACTGGTTAATAGCAGCTGAAAGCAAAATGTTCACCTCAGCTGAAGGTATAAAGCCTTGAGGACACAGGGAGCCATTATGTAAGTCCCATTTACCCTGTGTCCTGCTTGGCTGTGTTCTATGTCGTGAAGTGCTTGGGAGTATCCCTCATCAGTCTTTGTGCACTTAATAGTCAGCCTTTCTGATTACTACAGTCATTACATATCTCCTTCCCTTTTAAAGGTAAATGGCTATTTATTAGAGTGCTTCATTTTTTTAAAAAGATTTGTGTGTGTATTTGTGCGTGCGTGCGTGCGTGCGTGCGTGCGTGCGTGCGTGTGTGTGTGTGTGTGTGTGTGTGTGTGTGTGTGTAAGAAACCAGAAGAGGACATCTAATCTCTTAAAGCTGTGTTGTGAGCTGCCTGGTCTGGGTGCTGAGAATTGAACTTCAGTTCTCTGGAAATACAACTCTTAACTACTGAGCCATCTCTCCAGCTCATACAGTGTTTCTTTATTAGGAATTTAATATTAAAAATTATGGGTCTTTTATGGTACTGATTGTTTTTCTCAGTGCTCCTTAAGTCCTTTCCTAATCCTTTGTCATCTAGTATTTTTTATATAATTTTTGTAAAGCTTTAGTTTTTTTTAAAGAAATCTGTATGTGAAAATATATGAGATACTCATGGTTCCTTTTCTTGATACTGGAAGGAGACATGGAAAGGAATAGCAAGGTCTGTGGTGGAAGATTTTCCCCAAGGATAACTGTGCATCTGTCGCTTGACCTAGACCAGTGTGACTTGGTTTTCCCGAGTGACTCTTTTCCAAAGTGTTCTTGATCATATGTTTACACAGTTGGGTTTTGCATATATATCTTCTCTTTGATCTTGTTACAGTCTGAATCAGTGTCTGAAACTGACTTACATCCTCAGATGAACAGAGCTCCTTCCCAAACTGCAGAAAGCAGTCCAACAAAGAAGGTAAGAGAGCAGCAGAAAGATGCTTCAGTGGTAGCATAAAGACCCATGGGCTTCTTATAGAAACGTGAAAGTTTCCATCAAGATGAATGTGACCGATCCACAGTTCTGAAGTGGGAATTCTTTCTGAAGATTAGGATCCTGAAGGTTCCGGGGCTGGGTCATGGATATCCCTGGTAGTTTGTACTCTCCTCAATCTTCCAACCAAGCATGGCTGAGTTGCTTTTGGCAAGATCAAACAAATGTTTTGGGAGAGCAGGAGAATTGGCTTAGTATTTTTAGAGTGCTTACTGCTCTTGTATAGCTAGGGCCTGGGTTCAGTTCCCAGCACCCATATGGTGGCATGCTATTTCTGACCTCTGTGCTCATTTTACACACATGGTGCACATACACACAACATATAAAATTAAATATAGAATGTGGAGAGAGCTGGGTGACTTTAGCAAGCCTTCATACATCTGCTAATGAAGTGGACGAGTGTAGGTGGTGTAGCTTTGCTCTTTTGGGCTCAACTTGATTTCAGTTATGCATATACTGCTCTCCTAAAGGTGCAGCCAGCAGCCTAGGACCCTTACTTGCATCAAGTTTCAAGTATACCACATTTCAAACAATGGCACAGATTACTCCTGCCTTTTAGTAACCATTTAGTAGTTACACATTTGTGGTCAGTTTTCTTTGAAAAATGCTCAGAACACATCAGGGGTGAGACACAGGGAACCCATCTGGCCTCAACTAGTTTTGGATGCTTGTGCATTAAGGCAAATTGTATCTTCTGCATGAAGTTTTAAGGAAAACCTTCTATTAACCATCTTATGTTTATACATGGTTGGGCGTGCATATGATTAAAATCAGATATATCACAGGAAAGGACATGCATAGTGAGAGAAAGGCTTATATCATTCAGTCCTGTCAATCAAATAGGAGCCTCCATATTACACCCCTCAGAAACCAACTTCCCCTTCTTCTGGACCCCATAAGAGAAAGCTCCAAACTATAGCATGCTCAAGTAGCCCACTGATTTCTGCAGTGTATCCAATCCTATCCACTAATGAGACTGACTTGTTGCCTACAGAGGCAGATTGTATGGTCTGTTTAAATCAAGCTTCTTGCTGCTTTGCCATTCATATGCTCATTTTGAAATTCTTTGAATAAGACAGCAAGAATATGGAACCATCTGTTTCATACAGTGACCTCAGGTAACAGTAAGACCCTAGTAGTACTCCATGTGGGTAGGATAGCTTCCCCTTCTTGGTACCATGATTTCTTTCTTTTCTTGTTTTGTTGTTTTGTTATTGTTTACTTGGTTTTTAAAATTACCATGCAGAGCAGTACGTTTCACTATCCCATTTCTGTATGTATTTGTGTGTGTTGGTTCTCTCCCTCTTTGTCCCCAACCTGTGTCAGGATTTTTTTTTTCTCAAATCTTGGTACCTTGCCTTTGCCTGAGCCCCTGATCTGTCACAGCCAGCACTACTCACTGTTGTGCTCCCCATTTCCTTTGTCACCCTCTTTTTGATCTTCAGTATTATCCCTTAGACCATTCTCTTAGCAAAGAGAGTGGACCTTGGGCTTGGAAGGTGACATGAGGTCCTCTAAGGAAGCAGATCGGTTGTTTCCTTGAACACACTGGCTTTTTGTTTGACTTCATGTAGGGATCAAGAGTAGAAGAATGATGAGCATATGACTAAGACCAATACAGACTTTAAAATATATTCTTCAGAAAGGCCCAGAGTGAGGCAAGAGTCAGTTTTGTCTTCAATTAGAAGAGACCTTGTGGTTAAGCAAGAGTAGTTCTTAATCTTTCTAATGTTGTGACCCTTTAATACAGTTCCTTATGTTGTGGTGACCCCCACAACCATAAAATGATCCCATTGCTACTTCATAACTGTAATTTGCTACTGTTATAAATTATAATATAAATATCTGAGGTGTTGAGTGTCTGATATGTAAGCTTCAAAGGGGTCACAACCCAGAGGCCAAGAACTGCTGTTATATGAAGTCTATGTGACTTTAAATGACAAGAAAGTATAGATTGTTTACAACATTAAAACAGGATAAGAGTAGTGTCACTAGAATCTTATTTTGGTGTCTTTCTTGGTTAACAGCAAGGGCAGTAGATTCACAGTGTATTTTAAAAAGACATACAGGTAGGCTGTTTGCTGGAGCCTACTGCCAGAAGCCCTCCAGCACTTGCTGAGCCAAGTATCAGCTGTGGTATGTAGTTTGAACAGAGCCAAGTATCAGTTTGTGGTGTGTAGTTTAAGCAGAGTAGTCTTTTGATCTTGGGCACAGAACTGTGGATAGTGGCATGAGAGATGGAGGGGTCATAAAAATCATTTTGAGCATTTTGGGTTTATTTTTAATCCACAGGATGCACCACATGCTCAGCCTCCATCAAAGCCTATTCGCAGGAAGTTCCGACCTGAAAATCAAACTACAGAGAGCCAGGAGCCTGCTGCTGCAGTTGGAGGGGCAGCTTCTGCAGCAATGGTGAAACCCCATCCAACAGTACAAAAGTAAGTGGCAAAAAGATGAGTGAATAATGTGGGGAACTTCTTACATCTGCATGCATATGTATCTTTTACAAATGTGTTTGCATTTCTACTCCTAGCCACAGGGTTTAATAGCTGTCATAGTCATCTCTGCCATGGTGATGATGGTGGCATTAAAGGCTCCCAATCTGATAGTAGACTTTATACTCCAAAAGAGTTAGCCTGACCCAAAGGAACAGGCAAGTCCTAGATGAGTGTTTGGTTTTCCATCTTTTTCTCTTTCCTTCTTAACCCTTTTTATGTTGGTCCAGATTTTCCTATGAAGCAGTCAGTATAGCAAGGGCCATTTTCTCTCATTTCATGCCTCATCTTAAGTTCCTTTAGGGCACATGACCAGCTCAGTGATCATAGACTCAATTGTCAGCAAAATTAGGGTATGAGTTTTATAATCCTTGTGTAGAGTTCCTGATATTAGTCACCTCAGTACTGAATCGTGCAGGCAGATCTTCTATAATACCTCCCTTACCATCTGGAACAGATACTGAAGGAATTATGGAGACATCATGGAGAGGACAAAGGATTGAGACACTTGTGCTTTGGACAACCCACCCTTTCTAGAAGGCTGACTTTGTGATCTATTACTTGACTTAGTCCTTCTGTAGTGACAGTAGGTGAATATTGAGGACAAAATCCCACTACTGTCACTTGACTTGAAGTGAGCCTTACTGGCCAGTATTGCTAATACTTGGGCTCCCTTGTAATATTTCTGTAGCAGCCCTTCAGATCTCAGGGGCTCTGTAGCTTTCCTTCTGCTACACTGTTGTGGAAAGAACAGCCACAGGTTCTGTGGAAGCTGGGTCCTATTTGGGTTCTTTGCTCCTTGAGAGGATGTTTCTTTTCCCAAAGGGATAGATAGTTCCCTGCAGGCATCAAGCAGTACAGGAAGTGATTTTCTGCATCATCTTTGCCTTCCTAACCAGGAGGCTAGAGTTCTGTCAGGCACAAAGATGGCTATGTTTTCCTCCTTCATTTCAGCTTCATGTTAATTCCAGTCAGTCACTGGTGGCCACATTGCCCTCTAAGGTAGATTGCAGGCATCTGGTGAACGTCACACAGAGAGCTGTTGCTTTCCTTTTTTGTTTTTTAAATCAGCTTTGTTGAAATATAATTTGCATACCATACACTTTGGTGGCTTTTAGTATATTCACAAGTCATGTGATCATCACCACAATATAATTTTGGAACCTTTTTTTTTTTTGTAATCTCCAAAAGACTCTGTGCCCAGTGGAAATTGTTCTTCAAGTTCCCTTCTCTGCCCAGCTCCTGGAAACCACTAATTTATCCTCTATCTCTACTTTGCTTACATTTTACATTGACATGGCCATGCATCATTTGGTCCTTTGTGCTTGACTTTTTACTGTTTTTATATTTTTTTGTGTGTGTATGTGTGCATATTTGAGACAGGATCTCATTCTCTGGCCCCGATTGACCTGTAATACAATTTGTAGACCAATCTGTCCATGAACTCACAAAGGTCTACCTAGTTCTGCTTCCCAAGTTCTGAGATTGAAGGTATGCACTTCCATGTTTGACTTGGCACTTAGATTTTTTTTTTTTTCGAGACAGAGTTTCTCTGTGTAGTCCTGGCTGTCCTGGAACTCATTCTGTAGACCAGGCTGCCTCGAACTCAGAAATCCACCTGCCTCTGCCTCCCAAGTGCTGGGATTAAAAGCATGCACTACCACTGCCCGGCTGGCACTTAGATTTTTATTGTCATATTTAAGAACCTGTTGCCTAGTTCAAGTTTACAAAGATTATTTACTTAGAAAAGTCTTGTCACTTTATAGCTAATGCTGACTCCTATGGTTTATTTTGAGTTCATTTTGTATCTCATGTGAAGATGAGGTTCAAATTCATTATTTGACATGGTAATTATACAGTTGTCCCTATAGTATTTATTGAAATGGTATTTTCTTTTATTTATATGGTCTGTGAATGTCCCTCCGAATGCTAGTATAAGGATCATGTAGTGTTTAGCTAAGAGACTAATGCACAGGTAACAGTGTGAATAGTCAGGACCTAAGTTTTCACATGAGAAGATTTTATACAGCTTCTTATTTTAGTTCCAAGACCAGTTTATTTTGGCATGATAGGAAGGAATTTAGTGTTCATAATTTTTCAAGGCTAGGAGCAAAAGTCAGAATATACAAAATATTTGGCCTAGAGGTCTTTCCCAAGCCAGAGTTTTGAGAGAGATATAAGCACAGATTCCCTTAGACATCTAGATATATCTTAGATATATATGTATATCACCCCTCCCCCACTTTTTTTCTCATTCACAGTGTTAGTTGCTAGGTACTATCTTTGGGGAAAATGAGAAAAAAGAGTCCCAAACATTTTCTGTAAGCTCAATTCTCCAATAGAACATGAAGAAAGGCTAAAAATAAAGTAGAACTAGTTGTAAAACTGTCATCAGTTTTTATAGAAATTAACATAAAAATGAACCATTGTCAGAAACAAATTAAGCTTTTGATATTAACATTTCCCACACAATTAGTAAGCTTGTCCAAGTAAACTTCTGAGTCCAGGTTATATGCACTAAACATATCATAATGTATCATCATTGATAAGAACAGACACAGATTTGGCTTAGAAAAAGTCTGGCTTAGTTGTTTCTTTCCTGTCTATTAAAGATGAACCTTTAGAAAACAGGATTATTCATGCAGTATGGAAACAGAGAATACCATATGACAGTACCATGGCTCTGTGCCAGCCTCTGTAGTCTGTGCCAGCCTCTGGTCTGTATTCTTCTATAAGCCCAGACTGTGTTCTAGCAGCTAATATAGACTATTTGCTTGCCTGCATGATGTTCTCAATGTGGTTGGAATTTTTTTCTTTCCCTCCATATGCTTGATATATTGGGATTCTCTATGGGATTGATGGCTTGAATACCTGATGGAAGTCCTCCATTTCCAACAATAGAAAAGGCAATACAAATTTGAGACTTAGAAGATGCACCCAGTTTCCTTGGGAGAAATAAGGCTAAGAAGATCTATCCTTTTTTTAAAGACAGGATCTCATGTAGTCATGGCTGGCTCTGTGTAGTTAAGGATGATGAACTCCCCGTCAGCCTCTTGTCACTGCTCAGATGTTTTCATGATAGGTGTGAGCCAAAATATACAGGCTAGTATATATTTTTTTCACTTAGAGAATCTTGCTTATATTCTTTCTGGGAAGGATCTTTTTTAAGATAGGGTCTCACACTATAGCTTGGGTTGGGTACCTCATAGACTAGGCTAGCCTCAAACTTCTGGAAATCCTCTTGACTCAGCCTTCTGAGTGCTGATGTCATAGGTGTGAGCCACTATGTCATTATTTTAAAATAATAAAATATTATTGTATGTATGTTTCAGATTCTCAAAGAATAAGTAAAAAAATATATTTTTCAAAATTTAGATTTGCTACTTGAGCAGAAAATACACTTCAGAAGGGTAGGATTGCTCTGTCAGGAAGCCCGGCATCTTGTCTTCTAGATTTTGTTGAGATTTGCCTTTATCCATATGCTAATGGTGACATGTCACCAACATATTTATTTATATTTCTGATCACATGGAAAGGGAGAAAGAACAAATGTAGAGAAAAAAAACCCAGTTTATTGCTAAGATTTTTCTGATCTCACTGGCTTAAAATTTAGTTACATGTTCTTGTTCACCTACCAATGTGACAAAGTAATACAATTTATGGTTGGGTGATATGATGATCAATATTACATGTCAACTTGACGCAGCCTAGAATCACCTGGGAAGCGGGTCTTAAGTAAGGACTTGTCTGGATCAGGTTGGCCTGTGAGCATGCCTGTGAGGGAACTGATTTTTAATTTATGTAAGAAGATCCAGCCCACTGTGGCTGCCACCATTACCTAAGCCCATGGTGCTGAGAATGTAAGTAGATCTGCATGCATGTATTTCTCCATGTGCTTGACTATGGATATCATATTACTTGATGCTTTGAGCTCCTGCCACTGTGACTTCTTTGCTATGATGGACTATAACCTGGAATTGTAACTAAATAAACCCCTTTCTTGTCTGAATTGCCTTTGTCAGGGTAGTTTATCACAGCAACAATATGAATCAATGAGAGTAGGGCAGGTGGCCACATATCCAGTTGAAATAGAAGGGTCATATCGTATGGAACACATGAGAGCATAAGGAGAGCTTAGTGGTAGAGAGCTTGCCTAGCATGCACATGGCCCCGAGTTCAACCACCATCACCATAACAACTCTTTTGAGAGGTACTCTGCCACAGACTCTCATGCTGACAGTGCTACATGGTGCTTTTGCTCCACATGATAGCATGGCATGCAATGGATGAAACAAAACCAGGATATACTGGACGGTTTCTGCTTTGGAAACTGAGCCAGTTGTAGTCCAGATTGGAACAGGGAGGAAAACATTAGAAGAATGGGTAGGGGAAAACTTCTGAAGCAATTTAGAAGCAAGATAAACACCTTTCCTGAATCGTTAACAGATGCTTTGGATCTAACATTGGTGTCTAAATTGGGACCTGTTATTTGCTTTATTTAGGACTCCTTTGGTTACAAATGAGAAAAAAAAAAACCAAACCAAAAATCAAAACAACAATAACAGCAACACAACAACTTTGAATATCTCAGCATATTCTTTCTTGCCCCAAAAGACCATTAAGGATCCATATTCATTGTGAGGATGTAGGGGTGATTTATAGAAAATAGTGGCAGCAAACCTTTGGACTCCTGAAATTTTTCTAGTCTTCTAAAGGGTATTTGTCACTTTTCTCTGTGAACAAGTCTACCACTTTCAGCTCCATAGATTAATTGCCTTGCTATGAAGGGCCAAGGTTGAACTGGACTCCTAACTATTACCCACATACTTAGGAGAAAGAAGCTGCTTAGGTAAGTATGCCCCAGCATCCATTCAAGTGTGAAACTGGAAGTGAGGTTCACACAAGCATGAATACAGGCATCTGCCCATGTAGGTGGAGGGCAGCAATAGAGACAATAGTTCTTTTTTTTTTTTAAGACAAAGTTAATGGATATTTTTTATTCATTTGAAACTTACTCCTTTGTATGAAACTTATGTTACTTTCATAAAAAGATTTTATAATATATATAATTTTTAATCCTCTTCTTTTGCTCTGTTAATTGTTTGTTTAATTATAATTAACTTCATTGAAACTAATTTTCAGCATCTAAAAGTTTAGGAGAAATTTTCAGATGCCACTATTAAATATTTCTACTCATAGAGATCACATAGTTAAATGTAAGCAAGATGTTGCAACATCACATTATGTGGAACAATAAACATATACTCCACAAAGAACTTTCATGTCTAAAGTGTCAGAAATACAAATGATTTCATTAGATCTTAACGTTAGAAAACAACACATGCAAAGCAACTGTTGGCATACGTTGATCCCATTGTGATCAGCTTGGAGACAATAGTTCTAAGCTGACTCACATAGCATGGTACTAGTTTAAGGATGGAGAGATATCTGGTTCCAATTGATCTCTTTCTGTAAACTTTTAAGTTTTGAACTATATAAAATTCATAGAAACTAACAAAAAGTAATACCAAACAAACTTGTTTATCTCTTACAGTTTGTCCCAATGATTACATTTTACCTAACTATAGCTAGGATAATTCTATACCATTTTAGAACATATTGTCATGTGTAGATTTGTTAAACAATCACTATAATCAATATGATGGAGTCATACCTACTTCTTACTATCTAACATTCATAGCCCCTAGCAAATAATTGCCTAATTTTCCATTCTTATAATTTTGTCATTTTAAGAATGCTATATAAATGGATTTGACATTTTTTTCTTCAGCATATTTAACACATTAAAACAAAACAAACCAACCAATCAAACAAGCCAAACAGTTCAGGACACTTATCCCAAAGAAAGGTAAACTTCCATCCCTTAACATCCATCCAAATGTGGTAGATGTGTCTATCAGCCATCACTATAAAGCAGTGTCCTGTGGCATGCATAATATAGCAGTCTGTTTAATCAGTCTCCTATTAAGTGGTACTTCGGCTGTGTGTAGTTGGTGAATATTACAAATGAAGTTGCTGCAAGCATAAGTTTTTATTTGTACATGAATTTTTCTTTCTTTGGAATAAGCATCCTGAACTGTGATTTTTGGATTATCTGCTAAGTATGTGCAGTTTGAAAAGATACTACCAGGTGTTCTTCCAGAATGGAGGTTCCATGCTACATTCCCACAAGCAATGCATAAGACATTGAATTTCTCCATCTCTTTGCCAAAATTTGATGTTGTTCCATTTTAATTTTAGCTGTTTAGTAGGTATTTAAGTCTATGATATTGTGATCTTAATTTGTATTTCTCTGAAGGCTAGTGATGTTGCAAACATTTTTGTGTGTATGTATTTGCCACTGCACGTCCTCTTTGGTGATACATCCCTTCCTATCCTTTGATGATTTTTCTAATTCTTTTATTTTTAGGAATTATTTATTTAGTTTATGTATATGAGCACATGGTTACTCTCTCAGACACACCAGAAGAGGGCACTGGATCCCATTACAGATGGTTATGAGCCAGCATGTGGTTGCTGGTAATTGAACTCAGGACCCTCTGGAAGTGTAGTCAGTGCTCTTAACTGCTGAGCCATCTCTCTAGCCCCCCTTTATTTAAATGTTGCTTTCTGAGTCCTCTCCTCTCCTTACTGTAAGGAAAGAAGGGTTGTGAAAGAAGGGTTCATTTTGGCTTATGGTTGGAAGAGCTACAGTAGATCATGGTGGTGGGAGGAAGCACAGCACTGCTGCTTATAGTGTACTGGCAGGTGGGTACACAGTCAAAAAGCAGAGATGAATGCTAGTGCTCTGAGGTTTCAGAGCTTTCTGCACTCTGACTCAAAATCCGTGGTTAAACTTGTTGTTTTCACCTGTCTGGTCCATGATGAAACTTCTCTCTTCATCCTCCTTGCAGGCCATCGTACTTTTCTGTTTTCTTTTCCTTTTTTGTGTTATTTTAGTTGTTGACATTCAGTGTAATCTTTGTACATATATTGAATATTATAGAACTTTTATTGCCTTACCAGAAATGTTAGTAATTAATATTCTTTGGAGTAGAAGGACATAGTTGAGTTTCTAAACTTTAATAATAGCTCTTTGTTCCTGCAGGGAGGAAAGGGTGAGTTTTACTTCATCTTAATTTATTAAAAACTCACAACTGAAATAAATTTCATTTCAAGGATCAATGGTTTGAAAACTTGAGATAGTACTTGCCCAGAAGTAGATGTGATTCAAGATGTTTCCAGAATAGCAATATCTGTAGATGTGCCACTGAAACCAAATCTGTGTACTTGAACAAATGTCTGAAGTTAAACATCTCAAAAAGAAAAAGTCTTCTAGAATATTGTTCTTTTGGAAAAGGCACTAAAATTGGACCAAGGCACAGTTTTTCTCTAGTAGACATTTAAATTTGTTTGTTGTAAAGCAAAGGAATACATCATGTATCAAAATCCAGGCATTCTTCTTATGCTATGTATATTTTGTTTCTGTTTTGTTGGCATTGTTCTCAAAAATTTACTTTACAATATTTATTTTTATTGTATTCTTGCACATATTATTAATTCAGTAAAGAAGTCATGAATTAAATTTTACTCTTATGTGTGGAACCTGGATAACCTACCTCCCTCCCTCCCTCCCTCCCCCCCCCCCCCCCCCCCCCCTCCTCTCTCTCTCTCTCTCTCTCTCTCTCTCTCTCACACACACACACACACACACACACACACACACACACATGTGCATGCATACAGACATGCATACAAGTACAACATGAAAATACAAAGGAGACATTTGTAAAGAAGATGGAATCTAATGTGATTGGAAACAGGACAAGAAAGGGTATTGAGTAGCAAATATTGGCCAACGTACATATGTATTTCAATGAAAATAGCGTTATGAAACCTTTCACTTTGCTCAGTGAATATATGCTACTGAAATTATATTTTAAAAAGTGTGGGAGATGGCTCAGTGGATAAAGCACTTGGCTGTATAAGCATGAGGACCTGAGTTTAAATCCCAGAACACAACAGGAAATGTAGTCTCTGCTTTATTAAAAAAAAAAAAGTGGACTTTTGAAGCTTCTTCCCTGCCTTTATATGGCTGAAACAATTAACCTTTAAACTTTCTGCAGAAGGAACTAATCTTCTACAGATTAGCAGGGTGTCTAGCATAGTGTATCCCCTTAGGAGATAGCCATCCTATCTGCAGGGTAGATCAGTACTAGGACCCATTTCCCAGTGATTAAAAATATGGTTGTTTTTCTAGGAGGGTACAAATCACCGTTTTTGTTGTGTTTCTTGCTGTGGGAATAAGAGTTTGTAAGTTATACTTGTGGTGACCATGTTGATTTATCATTCCCATCATGGAAAGTTTTAAAGATCAAGACGGTACTAAGAAGACTTATGGCCAAACAGTGTAAGCGGATACTTTAATAGGCCCAAGTGGAACACATGATCTCCCTAGTTCTTTAAATTTAGTACTGACTTAGCTAAGGTGTGCTGGTACAAAAACATTCTTTATTTTCTTCTCGTGCTTCAGATATATTCTAGTATATATTAAAATTCACACACTTTCTCTCATAAAGAAAATAAAGGTGAACTAGGCAGTCTTGCTAAATTTCTGCTTAAGAGAATGTTCTGCTCTTTTCCACCAGTCTTGTCCACTGAAGTAGATTCCATTAATGTCTATACAAAAAGGGTCATTTGGCTAATAAGACTTATCAGAAAAATGCGTATTAAAATGTCTTGGAATAACTCGAACACAAATGTTTGAAAAGGCTCAATTCATAGTCTCTATTCAAGTTGTAAAATGAGGAATGGCTTCAGGTATAAATAATTCATCCTGACAAATTTGTTTCATTTTGGCATGGGCCTGCCTGCCTGCTGGCTTGCTGGCCTGAGAACATGAGATGTTATTTTTGGAGCCCTGGGATGTTAACCTTTGTCAGTTTAGCTCCTCTCATGAATCTGCGTTCTGACTTGCAAGAGGACCTCTGAGTTTCTTTTCATAGACATGTTTTCGCTATTTTACAGGCAGTCTTCCAAGCAGAAGAAGGCTATTCAGACTGCTATTCGCAAAAATAAGGAGGCCAATGCAGTGCTGGCTCGCTTGAACAGTGAGCTTCAGCAGCAGCTGAAGGTAAGGAGTATGCCTCACATTTGGATCCCCTCACTTAACCCTGGCTTTTTGTTCTGATTTGTTTTGACCATCAGCTCCCCATTACTTTCACTAAGATCTGCCTTTGTTCTCAAAGCTCATTTGGCTTGTGAGGAACAAGTGTATTTGCGATTCAAGGGGGTTGGTTCTTGAATGCTTAGACTAAGACTAGTAACTTAAATATAAAGGCTACATACCGTGTATGAGTTAAAAGGAAACAAAGCTGCTTACAAACTCTGTATTCTTTGTTGTTCAAAGCTTTCGGGCAAGTTCATAAATGTATAGATGATCTATGAATGATGATTGCTTTTGTTGATGTAGGCAGCCTGGGTAAACTCCTTTTCTGGTACCTTGGAAATGGTTCCATTTCACTTTCTCAAGGACATCAGCCCTGGTTTTTCTCACCTGTTTCTCTCCATCATTTCTCCCCTGAATCAGTTTCTTAGGTTGCTCTGGCCATATAGCACAAATGTGGTGATGTCATACAATTGTAAGTTACTCTGTCTAGCTCTGGAGTTTGAAGCCAATGTGTCATCAGAGCCCTTCTGTTTTTGAAAGCTTCAGAGATGTCATGTTGTTTACTGCTTCCCAACTTTAAGTATTTTCTGACAATCCTTGCTATTCCTTGACCTGTACATAAAGGTCCAATCTCTGTCTCCACTGTTATCTAACATTCTTCCTATGTCTTGCCTGTAATGTATTCTTGTTGTACTGTTCTGATTAAGGACACCAGTCATTGGATTAAGGTCCAACTTGATCTAGCATGATGTTATCCTTACATGGTTCTCTTTGCTTATAAAAATCATGTTTACAGGTCCTGGGAGTTAGGACTTGAACATATTTTGGTGGGGTATGATTTTATTGGGTCATTCTCAACCCATGCATAAACATACTCCGGCATTAGTAATCTTAGGGGTTATTCTCATTCACTGTCTTACTCACATTCCTCTTATGGGCTTTGCTCCCCCCCACCTTGATTTTAGAAGAATCTATATAAATTACCATCTTCTCTAAAATTATTTTTCAGTTTTTTAAAGAGACAGAGCCTTGATCCATAGCTCAGGCTGGCCCAGAACACAAAATCCTCCTGCCCCAACCTCCTGAGCTCTGAGATGATACATATGCAGCAGCATGCTGATATGGAAACAGTGCTTGCAACTGAGATACTGCGCTTCTTCTTCTTGGCCCTCCACCCCAGGGTACTGCTTTAACACTCTCTACCCCCTTCCCATTCCTGACTTCTCGTTTATGTGCCTATCCCCTCTGCCAAGATATTTAATTCCAGAACTTTTAAATACATAGAAAATTTGGAATAGCTGCACCATGAATGTTTGTACAGCCACTGTTTCAGTTCTGCTACAACAGTTTATTATACTTTTTAATTATACTTTTATTATATAACTTATATTATTATAATATTATTAATTATTAATATTATTATAAATATAATTAATTATTATATTTATATAATAATTGTTTTATTATTCACGTGTCAGTTTGTCTATCTGCTCCCTTCATCAGTTTATTTCACTTTTTTTTTTTGGTTTTTTGAGACAGGGTTTTTCTGTGTAGCTCTGGCTGTCCTGGAACTCACTCTGTAGACCAGGCTAGCCTCGAACTCTCAAACTCAGAAATCCGTCTGCCTCTGCCTCCCAAGTGCTGAGTTTACTTCACTTTTGACATATACTTAAATACATTACCAACATCTGTATATAGTCCCTAAATATCTCAGCATATATATTGTTAGCTAGAGTTCAGTTTTTTATTTGAGACATAGCCCCTTTATCCTGGAACTCACTATGTATGCAGTCTAGCCTCATAGAGTTCATTTTTTAAAAAGGTTTTCCTTATAATGTGAAATTTAACACATATAAGTTGTAACTATATTCTTGCTGATCTTGTAACAAATTGCATATACTTATAGAACCCAAGTTCTATGGATTTAGAGACTGTTGCCATCATCAAAAGAGGGTTTCTCATTTTCTTTTCCATTCTACTTCTACCCCATCCCAGCGCCACCACTATTCTGATGTTTTCATACCATAGGTGTTCCTGTTCTGTAACTGTATATGATGGTATTTTATAGCAAATACGTTTGTATAAAGTTTTTTGAGATTCATTTATTTTGTTGTGTGCATGAGGAATTCACTCCTTTCACTGCTACCTAATACCGTGCTGAGTGAATATGCTGCCATTTCATTATTAGGTTTATTGATGCAAACTTTAGCTGTTTACAGTTTTAGAACATGGCGAATAAAACTGCATCATTGAACTTGGTTAAATATCATGTTCTTATTTAGTGTTTGAGAATTTCATGCACTGTATTTTGGTTATATTCACCCCTTTCCTTGCCTCGTGTCTTTTAACAATAACTCACTGAGTATAATTTGTGCTGCCCCTACATGTGTGGGTGTGAGGTAACTAGCTAGCTGGTCAATTTATGAGCGACTACATCCCCTAAAGAAAACTGACTCTCCCTCAGGTAGCATCCAACAACTGCCAATAGTTCCTGTGCCTACAGGTAAGGCCTCTGGGTCCTCGCCATCCATACTTGGATGTTCACTGGCTTGATCTTGTGCAGGCAGTTATGACGTCTGTGAGTTCATGAGTGTAGTGGTTTGGTCATGTTCAGAAAACACTGTTTTGCCCTAGTTCTCTTTACAGCCTGTGGCTATTTATTCTTGTTGCCTGCTCTCCAAAAGTGGTCCATGAACCTTGCAGGGAGGGATGAGATAGATGTTCCATTTATGACAGAATATTCCACAGAAACTCTAGACATGTTTTTGTTTGGAAATATATTCTCATTTATTCTAGAGGACCTAGATTACCTAGATAACCAGGATTCATTGATGATTGGTTAATTGTCAGGCAGGTGTGGTAATCTCAGGACCTTCGAGGTAGAGGTGGACAGATCTCTGTAAGTTTGAGGCTAGCCTGATCTATAGAGTAAGTTCTAGGACAGCCAGGACTACATAGAGAAAAAAAATCCTGTCTCAAAAAACTAACACACACACACACACACACACACACACACACGCACAGGTGTCTTAGTTACTTTTCTATTGCTGTGAGGAGACACTATGACTAAGGTAACTTATAAAAGGCAGCATTTAATTATGGGCTTACTTGCAGTTTCAGAGGATGAGTCCATGACCATCATGGTGGGGAGCATGGCAGCGTGCAGACTGGTATGGCACTGGAGCAGTAGTGAAGGGCTTACATATTATCTGTAAGTTGCAGACAGAGAGAGGGATTGGATCTGAGTGGACTTTTGAAAGCTCAGAGCCCACCCCCAGTGATACATCTCCTCTAACAAGGCCACATGTTGTAATCCTTTACAAGCAGTTCCACCAATGTTTGTCAATATTTCCTTCTGGTGTTTGTATCACCTATTTATTTAATAACTATATACTTTTATGAACAGATACTTTAAAATTTTATAGAATCCAACTTTGTTATTTTTCATAAGTTTATAACTTTCAATGTTAGGAAACTATATCTATAGTTTATAAAATAATTTTGATATATTTTCTTCTAACAGCTTTATTGGTTTTTACTTTTACATTTTTATGTTAAATTTGTACATGGCATGATATTAGGGTCAAGGTTCATTTCTCCCCATTTTAGTGTTTCCTTAATCTAGCACCATTTGATGAAAAGACTTTTCCTCCCTTAGATCAATAACTTTGGTACCATTATCATAAATATGATGACCTGTAATTATGGATTCAGTTCTGACTTCTTAATCTGCTCCATTAGTCTTTCTATGGATCTTCGTGTTACAATCTTGATTGTTGCTGCCTTATTCTGTCTTGAAATGTGGTAATATAAAAATTTCAACATGTTCTTTTTCATGATTCCATGGGATATTGTAAGCTATTTCTCTCATGAAAATTTGAGGACTGGTAGGAAAAATGCCACAAAATAAGAACTGTTAGGATTATGGATAAATTGACATTGAATCTATCAACTAGTCTATGAAGAATTGACATGTAAATAATGTTGATCTTCTAATCTGAAAGCAGAGGGCTCTCTACAGCTATTTCAGCCATCTAAAATTCCCCTGAGGAGTTTTGAGATTTGAGTATATAATCTTTTGAAATTTTGTCCAAAATCTTTGTGATACTATTGCAAATTAGATTTAAAATCAATTATGTTGTTCAGTTGAATTTGTGAAGGTCCCAGGATATAGGATCAATACACAAAATAATCAGTCATATTCCTGTGTATAAGTCATAAATAATTGGTAATGGAATTTTTTTTAGACTACCACTTGACAGTAGCTGAGCTCCTTCCCCAAATGAAGTACTTTGGTACAAATCTATCCAAATACACCTAAGATTTATACACTGGAAATTAAAATGCTGCTAAGACAAATCCAGGGAGACCTAAAGGAACACATATATTTTCTTATGTATTTGGAAGATTCAATAGAATAGAGATGTCATTTTTTCTCCCCAGTGATCTTTAGATTCATGACAGTATCAATTAAGATCCCAGCAGGATTTTAAAAATGAATACAAACAAGCCAATCCAAAAATTTATATGTGAAGGCTGAGGAACTTGGAATTGCAAAATTCCAATGTAAAAAGTAGAACAGATGAAGAAATCACTGTCAAGCTGCAGTAATCAGGACAGTAGAATTCTGAGAATGGAGCATAGATCATAATCCTGAAAGAAATCATATAAATGAAACCATTTGTTAAAAAGACAACGATGCTAAATCAACTCAAAAAAGGCCAGTGTCCCAACAATATGTTTAACAATTGGTCATCCATATGTAACAAATAGGGAATCTTGATCTAAGTCTCATCCCATGTACAAAGATTAACTTCAAAGGGCTTGTCCATGTAAATGGAAAACAAAACTATAAAACTTTTAGGAATAAAGGGAAAATAGTTCATGATTTGAGGTTAGACATGACCCTACTATAAAAATATGACTAAAAGCATAATGAATAAGAATATATAAGAATATAACTTAGTTTATTGGCCTTCATTAAAATAAAACACCTTTGCTCTGCCAAAGACACTAGAAAATTACAAGACAAGTTACAGATGGGGAGAAAATATTTTCAAACTGCATATTTGACAGAGAATTTTTGTTCTGATTAAAAAGTAATCTTAAAACTCAAAAATAAGTCTTTGAGAAGACTTACTACTGTCAGCATGCTAAATGAACACAACAATAAAGTGACTCCGAGTGACACATTACTATACCCACAGATCAATGTCTCACTCAGCCCTCATCAGAGAGGCTTCTTTTTGCATTAGATGGGAACACAGAGACTCACAAGTAGACAATGTATAGAAAGAAAGAGAATGGGAACACTCAGTCCTAAATGGGATATCTTTATCAAAGTCCTACCTTCCAGGGTGCAGGGATCTATGTGGAAGAGGAAGTGGAAAGAGTGTAAGAGCTAGAGGTGGAGGATGACTGCAAAGAAACACAAGACTGATACCCACATGAGCTCACAGAGACTGTGGCAGTAAGCATAAGGCCTGCACATGTCCAAGCCAGATAGAATCTTAGCATGCAGAAGCGGAAGTGGACACAAATCCCACCCCTAATTAAGAAGCTATTTGCAATTGACACCTTCTGGGAAAGGGAAAATCAGCTTTCTCCAATGGAGTCTCACTGAGTATATTGACCACACTTCAGGCAAGGCCCTATGCCAGGAGTAGTTGCGCAACACAAAGTGAATTTGGTGTGTGTGCTTTTTAAAATTTGTTTTGCTGTTTTTGTTTTATTGTTTTTCTTTCTCTCTTTCAGCTTGTTCGTCTGTTTTGATTTTCATTTTTCTTTTCTGTTTGAGAAACTAAGAACATGACATTACATGGGTAGGGAAATAGGGAGGATCTGGAATGAGTTGTAGTGTAAAATATATGATCAAAATGTGTTGAATGAAAAATGTAAATGAATTTTAAAAAAGATTAAGGACTTTAAAAAATCAAATATCTAAATTTAAAAATTGGCAAAAGACTGGAACAGATATTTCACCAAAGAGGGTATAAGGATGACATATATACACATAAGATGATATTCTGTATCATTTGCCATTTAGGAAATGATAAATTTAAGCTAGTATTACATACTACTATACACTTATTAGAACTGCTAAAACAAAAAATGGCACTGTCAGTGGTCAGCATCTGGAACCTCATGCACTGGTAGTGGGACTACAAAATGGTACCCTCACCCTGGAAAGTCATCCAGTAATCTTTTGAAGTGATATCTATTTTTAATCTCATTTTTACTTATTTTTTTCCATTTAATTTGGCTTTATCTTCTCCTCCTTTTATTTTTGGGTAGATTAGCTTTATTCATTGCTCTTTCTTTCTTCATTGTTTCTTTTCAGTTTTGTTTTATTGAGACAGGGACTTCTGTTGCTCAGGCTGCTATCAGAATGACTAATGTATTCACTCCTTTGATTATCCTTTCTCTATGTCCTAAGTACTGGGATTCCAGGCACATGCCACTGTGGCTTGTTTCTGTGGTGCTAGAGATGAAATCTGGAGTGGCCTGCCTTTTAGGCATGCACTCTACCAACTGAACTCCATTCTTTTTATACAGCATTTTCACAAAACTTCTCTCTTGGGACCTTTGAAGTTGCAGTGTATTCATCCTGCATATCCTCACCCAATGTGTTCAAGTAGCTTCCTTCTAGCTTCATTCATGTCTCTGATCAAGTTGCATCACCTCTAAGCAATCTTCCCTAGTCATACTTTCTGTTTTCTCCTGGTCTGCTAATTCTGTTGTTTCCGAATGCATCATCGCATTTATTTACTTTTAGAGCTGTCTTCTTTGCCCATTTTATTGTCTGTCCATTCATTTTAATATAAGCCATGTAAGGGTCCTGGTGTACTTTTTCTTGGGTTTTGCTCATACCATAGCTAAAGCAACATCTGTCCTAGAGCTAATAGACACAGAAGATAGTTTGCCAGGAGTATGAATGAATGAACAGTCGGTTCTATGTATTGGTTTTCCAATGTATGTTGGCTCTCTGGAACATCTCAGAATTGAGCCTTTATATAAGAATTCTTTCCCACATTGAACAATTCTACTTAAGCCTTTATGTGTCCTTTTGGTCTCTGCAAAACTCTGTTTTAAGACTGAATGTTTCAATTTCCAAATAGCATATTGCTGTTGCTCTCTTCTGCTTTTCACCTAGTGTGGTGGTTTCAAAAGGTATGACCCACATAGATTCATATGTTTGGATGCTTGACCATAGGGAGTGGCACTATTAGGAGGTGTGGCCTTATTGGAGTAGGTGTGGACTTGTTGGAGGAAGTGTGTCACTGTGAGGGTTGGCTTTGAAAAGTCTCCTATGCTCAAGCTGTGCCCAGTGTGGCACACAGTCTCCTTCTGCTGCCTGCAGATCAAAATGTAGAACTCTTGGCTCCTCCAGAACCATATCTGCCTGCATGCTGCCATGCTTTCCACCATGATGATAATGGACTAAACCTCTGAAACTGTAAGGCAGCCACAATTAAATAGTTTCCTTTATAAAAGTTGCCTTGGTCATGGTGTTTCTTCAAAACAATAAAACCTGAACAAAGACACCCAGAAATTATGTTAAGCTATATTATGAGTCTGGACAAGAGACTTTCATGGAAGGATAACTAGTCTATCTTTTTGTCTTTCATCCCCAGCTAAGTATTGTGCCAGAAAGGAAGCCAGGGATTGCAACTAGAAATTTAGTTGTGGTGACTCAGTTCCATATTGGGAGTCTTTCTGCTTTTTTCTTTTAGTTCTCTCCTGTTGGCTTTTTAATATTTAATATCATTCTCTACTGCCTTCTGAGCTCATTAAAGCAGAGTAAGGCTAAGGCAGGTTTGCAAAGAAAATTTTATCAGGTGTGCTATGAAGTAGGTTAGTTGTACCATGCTCAAAGTGCCTTGTGATTGTGCTGGAACTTAGCTGCCCGTTCCTGTGTCTGAGATGGCTATTTCAAGGCTACCACTCTATGTTAACACATATCAGTACTGAGTAGTACAGTGGCTGCAGGGCACTCACGAAACCATACCTGAGGTTAGTGACTGGGAATCCCCATTGTCTAATCACCAGCATTGAAACCAGTACCTTTTGGGCCACTTGTCTCCAAGCGTTTGAGGGTCAGTTCTATATTTCCTTTGAATGTGTAATGAAATAGAGATGAACCCACAAAATGATACCTTTCATTCTTTTTCTTTTCCCTGTTTTGTATAATTTAGGAGGTTCATCAAGAACGAATTGCATTGGAAAACCAATTGGAACAGCTTCGCCCAGTCACAGTCTTGTGACATCCTCCAGACTTGAGTGACAGCAGGTGACCTTGTCTGCCAAGATGTTTCTTTTTAGTATTTGGGCCCAACTATTTGTCATATATGTCTGAATGTCAAAAGCTGTGAGCAGCACAATATAATCTATATGACTTTCTCTTTTGCATTTCACTTGTATATTTTACAGTGGTGGTAAAATGTGTCTTCAACTGATCATTGCACTTAAAATATTAATTATCAGCTACTTCGGAGGTTATAGCAGGAGGGTCACAAGCTCAAGGCCATTTTGAGAAGCTTATTGAGACACTATCTCAAATAAAAACTCAAAAAAGAGGTATGCATATAGCTCAGTGGTAGAGTGCTTGCCTGATATATAGGAAGCCTCAGTTTAATCTTAAGTCCCAATTAAAAACTATACTTACCATTGGACTTTATCTCCCATTTTAACCACTTTTAGATACTGCTCCTCATTTTAGTTAGTCTTTTAGCAGATAATTCAGAACATTATTTATTTAAAGAATTCATAATTTTATGGAACCTATTAATGATGTACCACCAGGATGCTCATTTTATTCTTAAATGTATAGTGTGCATTCCAGCTGGATAGTCTTAGGCATGATGATAATAAAATCAAAAGCTGGAATACAATTAAAGCATCAGATTTACACTGGCACTGTGCCCTCTACCACTATATGCCAAAAACTGCTTCTATAGTACCATTTTGATATTATATCAGTTATACATAATACATGACTATTGTTTTCTATTAAATATCAGAACCTTACTGGGTCTTTACACCTCCGTGAAGTAGTGATTTTGGCAATGAACTGTTTAACTTGGCCAATCTAGGCCATCAACCTAGATAACAGTCCTTTTCATGTAAACTTTTGCGCAAGCACAATCTACTTTAACTGCCTTGCCTGATCAAATTAAATAAATAATTGCCAGATCTCTGCTTTTATCCTGCATGGGATAACATCTTTGTAAATGCCTGAGCTTGGAAACCACCCAACAAATATTAGTAGCTGGATAGCTACCTATTTGTTGTTGAATCCAGGTATCCAGGCTAAAAAGGGAAGAGAAATAGCCACTAACTCTGCAACAATCCTTGGCTGTTGTCATTGTTGTCTTTATTTTAGCCTGGATTTCAAATGTGTTGCTTCTGAAGACACAATGAAAGAATGCAATCTTCCCACCAGCTACATGACTACTTCTCTGTAAAGTGTGCTCTTGGGAAGTATTAACTTTATATACAATTCAGGGGAGCCTAGCTAATTCTAGTGGAAGTGATATAAAGCAAGCTTAAATTGCAGAAGCAAGTATCCTGTAGAAATTTAGTAGTACAGCCCAATTGAAAGTAGGAAATGACTGACCTGTAGGGTTACAGGGTCCCTGAATCACTGATCTTCAACAGGGCATTGTAATGTTAGCATTAGTGTGGACAGGGTACTTTTGAAATGGTTTTGGATAGTTTTTCAATAGGTAAGATTAAGCTGTTGATTTCAATAGAGCTGAGAGTGTTTAGTAAAAATAAGCATTGATTTAATACTTCCATGTTCCTTTGGCAAGCTTTATCAGTAGCTTAACAACAGAAGAGAAGAGTTCAAACACATGATGTTTTTCCAAAGGAAAACAAAGTGTTGACTCTCTTCCATGCATATTTATGGATTTGAATCTGATTTGATTTAGAAAGTCATGAAACTTGAACTATTTCTGCGTTTCTTTTTTTCCTTTGGCTGCCTTTTTTTGGTTGTTGTTGTTCTTGTGGGGAGGGCTCAGGAATGACTTTAACCCCTCCTAAGATTATGGTTGGGTCAGTGCAAATTCCTGGGTGACTTCTTTTTTCCATATGCTGGGATGTGGGCCTGTGACAAATTTTCAACAGTGTTATGATTGCAGATGTTTTACAGCATGCTTGGTATTTTGTACATTCAATACAGGAAAGACTAACATATGAACTTTATCTCAAAATCTTCCAGCACATATGCACTCACTTGGGATAGCACTTCATATCCACCAACCAGACACAACCTAAGGAATGTTAGTCTACTGAGCATTTAAAAACACTGACATGTCATTTCCCTCATGAAGTAAATGACACAAGGAACTGGGTGAAGAGATTGGAATTTTACTTAGTTGGCTTTGTTTTCCTTAAAGGATAAAACTTGCATTGGACAATCAAGACCCTCTGAGTTTCACAGCCTCACCAATATATTTCCTGTGGTACTGGGATCAAACCCAGGACAGCATTCATTCTAGACAAATGCTGGGCCATACCTTCAGCCCATTGCCAATATTTTAACTGAGGCATTTCATTAAACCACACACCAATATCACACACACACACACACACACACACACACACACACACACACACACACTTTTTAGCTAGACTTTTGATCAGTTTATTAGTTGCTTATAAATATATTCTTAAAAGAGAATACTTGTGTTTCTATTAAATAAACACTACTAAATACATGTTATGTGACTAGTATTTATCCTTTACTTCTGTGTTTTCTTAGGATGTACACTTTTAGGGTTACAGTGCCTGATAATATTTTTTAGAGCCTTTAATATGATACAGGTTGAAAAACACATTGAAATCACTTATAGAACTACTTTGAAATTTATCTCCATTTACCACAAAAAACAAGCTTCTTTGATGAAGGATGAGAGATAACGATTTGCTTGTTTTGTAGAATTCTACAGCATGAAGGTTAACCCTGTCTCCATTCATGGGAGTTTAATTACCCTCTTGCTCAATGATCTTCCTTCATGGGGATCCTCCAGTCCTACAGATGAAAGCACAGTAGGAAATGATCATGGGCTTACTGGGGCTTTTAGCATCTCTAGTAAGTAGCGTCCAGCTTTGGCCGGCTTTCTATCCATAGACCTAAAGCAGAGCCCAAATGATAAATAATAAGAATGGATGTGCAATGTGACAATCAAGGCAGATATTTGCTCTAGTTGGAAAGATCTAAGCACATTATAAGCATCAGAAAAGTGTTTGGGACTAATTGAGAAATGAATCAGCTTAGATGGAAGCTGTGCTATGTGAATATTAGAACTAGGCAGGACCAGTGTTCTCTTTTATAGCTAGCATGAGAAAATCACATCCCTAAGAATTGTGGACTCTTGGCCCAGGAATTCACAATAAAAGATAGCTAGTAGTAGAGTTGGGATGTAGCCTGATTTTACAGATTCCAAGGTAGTCCTCTGTCAATCCTAAAAATAGATTAGAAAGCCTTTTCTATTTATCATATTGAATTGTATTGACTTAATTGGTCTTTAGATATGAAAACATCTTCTAAGGAGTTTTAGATCTAGACATTTCTCTCAGATTTAAGTAAAAAATAAAATTTGAAGGGAAATAATGTTATCAAACTATTCTAATGCTTCACCTTTGATGATGCAGTATGTTCCTTTAAATCTTGGCAGAACTTTAAAAAGCTACTTCTTTCAATAGATTCCAGTCCCATATTCCCATGGGCATTTGCTTTCTTAAATAGACTACTGTGATAAAATGAACTCAATATGTAGTAGCTATAGTTTCTCCAGTATATTGTTGGTTGCTCACAAATGGTTCATTTTAACACATTTTAGGGATAAGTAATCAAAAACATGAGCTTTTCTTTTGACTTACCACCAATGTCTGAATTATTGTAAAATAGTATATTTTTTAGCTGTGTTTTGACTGTATAGTATTTCTAAATATTTCTCTATGTCCTGGATAGTCTCATAACTGTGGCCATAATAGGTACATAATTAGAAGATCATTTAGACAATATCTGGATTTGATGTGATTCTTATAATCAAGACAGACACTTGCAAATGTCTTTTTCTAAGCAGTAGTTAGAAAGAGCTCAATAATAGTATTAACACCTTTAAGCCAAAACATTTGTTCAGCACAAACTACCATCACACCTCTTACTAGATATCATCAAGAGAATATGGATTTACAAACATAAAAGCAAGACTTTACCATCTCTCACAAGCAGATGGCCCCATGTGATTGACAAGGAGGCTCATTGGGTTGTGGTTTGAACACTGAGGGTGTGAAGGAAATGAAGCAGTGGCTAAAGAAATCTTCTCCCCTCACTAAATATAACACTAGTGGTTTTCTTTTCTCTTTCCAGCTCATTAATTCTATTTCAAGTGTTCCCTTAAAACTCAGATTTCAACACATCAGTTGAATTTCTACTCTAGTTATGGGTGTTATAGTTTTTTGTGTTATGAGTCAGTGTGGTTCAAGTTCCTAGTCAGAAGCAGAGATCTGGATGTGTGCAGTCCTAAGCCTGCACACCTTCCTCCCCTTTCAGCATGGCCGATGGAGACATCTCACCAACATAAATAGGTTGGTCACTGATGGCCATTTTAATAAATATGTTTTGTGGGACATTTTGCTTTCTCTGTTTGTGAAAAGAAATGTATCTAATTATTTGAACCTCTGAAGAGTTGTAGAAAAGGAGGACTAGACTTTAAAAGCTATCCATGTAGATTCTGAGAGCTGTGCCCAGCAGAAGTCTTATAAATATGCCTTGAAACAGCCATTGTGTGGTTATGAGCTGGGCAGCTAAGGTATAGTTAGCTTTAGGCTTGTAGGATTACTTCCTAGTTTCTCTAAACACACATGGTGATAAAGAACACATCAAAACCACTGCAGGTTGCAGTTGATAGTACCCACTCTGTCTGCAAAAGCCTTGCTTTACTGGCAACTATTGGAGAATGCTTAGTTTGCATGTTTTGTGATTTCTCCTGTCTTGCTCCTAGCAAATTTCATGGCTGTGGGAAGTTAGCAACACTAGGTTTATGACTCTGAAGATCAGAGGACAGCAGGCTTTAAGAGGGCTTAAATTGGGATTTGAGGACTACAGTAAGGAAACCCTCAGATACCAGGTTCAGAGCCGTCTGGGATGATAGGACTAAATCCTAAAGTTCTTTCAGGGAGCTCTGCCATGAGACTGAGTACAGTATATCCATCATATGCCAGCTTGACCAACTGAGTTGTAGTTTTTGTTTCAAGTCAGCTTATGTGATAACTTCCACTGCACCTATCTTGGGAAGCAGGGATACCCTCTTCTTTAGAACTAGAGGTGCCATTCTTTTCATCTTCAGCACAAGGAAGGCATTTAAGTGAGCCAGAGACAAAAAGAGCCATTTTAGTCTTCATA